AAAAAATATAATAAGTTAAATTTGTAGTAAAAAAGCCTTCAACAGGTATGTCGCCCACACCTATGATAGTAAAAAGTAAAATTTTCCGAATTTTCTTTGTATCAACGTTGAGACCACTATTTAAATGTATAATTGCGCCCGTTTTCAATAGAAAAAATAAGCTCCTACTACTTAATAATCTAAGTAACAGATTTGTCGTTTTAAAACAGTTTTCAACCCGTTCAATCACTGTAGTTAAAATATTTGAAATTTTTTTTTGCCAAAAGTGTTGCTCATTGATGGTCTAAACTATCTGTATTTGTTTTGAAGTTCGATCTTAAATCCTTCAATCAAAAAATATAATATGTTAAATTTGTAGTAAAAAAGCCTTCAACAGGTATGTCGCCCACACCTATGTAAGTAAAAAGTAATATTTTCCGAATTTTCTTTGTATCAACGTTGAGACCACTATTTAAATGTATAATTGCGCCGGTTTTCAAAAGAAAAAATAAGCTCCTACTATGTAATAATCTAAGTAACAGATTTGTCGTTTTAAAACAGTTTTCAACCCGTTCAATCACTGTAGTTAAAATATTTGAAATTTTTTTTTGACAAAAGTGTTGCTCAATGATGTACTAAACTATCTGTATTAGTTTGGAAGTTCGATCTTAAATCCTTCAATCAAAAAATATAATAAGTTAAATTTGTAGTAAAAAAGCCTTCAACAGGTATGTCGTACACAACTATGTAACTTAAAAGTAACATTTTCCGAATTTTCTTTGTATCAACGTTGAGACCACTATTTAAATATATAGTTGCGCCCATTTGCAAAAGAAAAAATAAGCTCCTACTACCTTAAAATCTATGTAATAGAATTGTCGTTTAAAACAGTTTTCAACCCGTTCAATCACTGTAGTTAAAATATTTGAAATTTTTTTTTGCCAAAAGTGTTACTCAATGATGGTTAAAACTATCTGTATTTGTTTTGAAGTTCAATCTTAAATCCTTCAATCAAAAAATATAATAAGTTAAATTTGTAGTAAAAAAGCCTTCAACAGGTATGTCGCCCACACCTATGATAGTAAAAAGTAAAATTTTCCGAATTTTCTTTGTATCAACGTTGAGACCACTATTTAAATGTATAATTGCGCCCGTTTTCAATAGAAAAAATAAGCTCCTACTACTTAATAATCTAAGTAACAGATTTGTCGTTTTAAAACAGTTTTCAACCCGTTCAAACACTATAGTTAAAATATTTGAAATTTTTTTCGCCAAATGTCTTACTCAATGATGGTTTAAACTATCTGTATGTGTTTTGAAGTTCGATCTTAAATCCTTCAATCAAAAAATATAATAAGTTAAATTTGTAGTAAAAAAGCCTTCAACAGGTATGTCGTACACACCTATGTAACTTAAAAGTAACATTTTCCGAATTTTCTTTGTATCAACGTTGAGACCACTATTTAAATATATAGTTGCGCCCATTTGCAAAAGAAAAAATAAGTTCCTACTACCTTAAAATCTATGTAATAGAATTGTCGTTTTAAAACAGTTTTCAACCCGTTCAATCACTGTAGTTAAAATATTTGAAATTTTTTTTTGCCAAAAGTGTTGCTCAACGATGGTCTTAACTATCTGTGTTAGTTTGGAAGTTCGATCTTAAATCTTTCAATCAAAAAATATAATATGTTAAATTTGTAGTCAAAAAGCCTTCAACAGGTATGTCGCCCACACCTATGTAAGTAAAAAGTAATATTTTCCGAATTTTCTTTGTATCAACGTTGAGATAACTATTTAAATGTATGATTGCGCCCGTTTGCAAAAGAAAAAATAAGCTCCTTCTACCAGTTCTACCTAATAACCTAAGTAACGGAATTGACGTTTTAAAACAGTTTTCATCCCGTTCAAACACTATAGTTAAAATATTTGAAATTTTTTTTGCCAAAAGTCTTACTCAATGATTGTTTTAACTATCTGTATTTGTTTTGAAGTTCGATCTTAAATCCTTCAATCAAAAAATATAATAGGTTAAATTTGTAGTAAAAAAGCCTTCTACTATACCCATGGTTTTATATGCCCCCTTCGGTGCACAAAATTTTAATTCATGGAGTGGATGTCATTCGTTACGCAATTCTTCCAATAGGTAATTCTAATTCTAAATAAATAAACCATCATAATATAATATGTGTAATTAAATATTTTTAGGACAACTTTCAGAAGAAGCCCAGGAATCACGTAACAAAGATTATAAAACCTTTCGAAAACATAACACTCGAAAAATGTCCAGAATAAATACAAATACGGATCTTCTTCATATTTTATAAGTATCGTCCGATCCTTTAATTTCATCTACACGAAAAGTAAAAAATAAAAATAAACTTGACTATTCCCCTGAAGTACAGTCACTTTTCATATTGTCCGATTCCGATTCCGATTCCGATACAGACAGTGATTCCAAAGATAGTACTACAGATAGTGATTCAGATGACTCGCATGATGGTTATACATCACAACTCGATTAGGTTGTTTTATAGTATATTTATAATTATTATATTGTTATAAGTTTGGTAAAAAAAATTTAAAATAATAAAATATAAAAATGCTTTGATGTTTAAAAATATATGGTACCACCTTCTCATTGTCTATATGGGGATCCTATTAAAGGGCCATTGTCATGCCAATTACACTATGTATGCACAAATTGAGTTTAGCAGTCTTAAAAACATATAAACTTATGTAGAATATAATTGTTTTTAAATTTAAAAATAGTACACCCTTACTTCCTACTTAATAATGGGCAAAATAAAAAAACTGATGCAAAATTTGGGTTCAGCATCCTTAAAAGTGATTGGTTTAATTTATCGCACAATATTATGTAATATAGTTTTAGAGTTATTGATTTATTTAAGCTAGAAACGGGTTTCATCCCACTGTGCGCCGCACCGCACTTCGGTGGGTTGTGGGAAGCTGCAATCAAAAGTTCAAAACATCACATGAAGCATGTCATTGGTACTCAAGTTCTAACATTTGAGGAAATGCTAACATTGGTCACCCGCATCGAAGGAATATTATATTCACGGTCACTTACACCGCTTTCATCAGATCCAAATGATGTATTCCGTTAACGCCCTGCCATTTTTTAATCGGAAAACCATTGCACGCTCTTCCAGAACTTGACGTTTCACTAGTTCCCCTCGACCGATTAAATATTTGGGCATATGGCAGTTGATCCGTCAGTGTCACCAATCCTTTTGGAAAAGGTGGGCGAAGGTATATCTGATCACCTTGCAAGGACGCCAGAAGTGGTTCCACAAAGAATTGAATCTAGCCGTTGGGGATATGGTCATTGTTGAAGCCCCGAGTCGGCCCCCTTCCGAGTGGCGTTTAGGGCGTGTGATGGAAGCACATCCTGGCAAGGACTAAACAGTTCGAGTCGTTACCGTGCGTACTCAGGATGGAACTTACAAAAGACCAGTTGTTAAACTGGTTAAATTGCCGGTAGATCCATAAGTTCCTTGTCTTTCCACTAAATTTTTCCTCCATAAATGTAGTTTTAGTTTTAAGTTAATTTAAGTTTGGACGCTCTCTCGCCAAGGATCAATGGGTGTTTCGGAAGCCTGCGTCTTCCAACGTGGGGAGGATGTTCGGTACGTATGCCCGAGTTTGGACTTTACCCTAACGTTATCGTCGCGTATAATGTACTGATACTGACCGTTCTGATATCTCCGGAGAGGGAAGCGTTATCGGTGTGTCGCCGGCGGTCTCTTCCGCGCTGCATGCTAGCCCGACGTAGTGCCTTTAGTCGCAAAGTCGCCGGTCCTCAGCCGTTTTGGCAAATATCGTCGTTTTGTGTGTCCGATATATGTGTGAACCGGTGCGCCCGCTGTCACCGTCAATATCCGTTTGTGATTCCGTGCCCGTCCGAGCCGTTTTGCTCACCATAGTGCTCTCGTTCCGTCTGTCAATCGTGTACGACAGCGTTAGCACCTCTCTAAAACATTCGTCAAGTGTTTTCAGCCACCCGTAGCCCCTCGCGCCACGTGGTTGGTCGTTCCGACTGGTACGTGTGCAAGTCAGCACCTCGTACTGTCGCGCGTCACGCCCTCGCCGTGACCGTGTATCATATTGGGTTTAATATCTGTGTTAAAATTACGTTCATAGTTCATAGCCATCTCGTTCCCGCTTCAGTTTTTTAAATCAAACTACCTACTTGCACGGTCGTCCGGATTCGCCCGTGCACCGGAGCCCGCACGAGTAGTGAGTGTCGTAACCGCCGTTGTTACCCGCACGCGCATTAATTATTGGCCGTCGTCAGACGACAGCCTACGCACGCACGAGTCGACCGCCGACACAGATTGTCCAGCTATTCCGTATCAGGTCGTACCTACGTTCATATTTTGTTATCATCCACCTTTTGTTATTGTTTACCTTCGTGTATTTGTCACTCGATCATCGAATTATATTTTTTTATACATTTATTATTTGTCTCTTTTTTTTGTCCCACTGTATAATTGGCGACCGCTTATGGTCGGCCCCCACCTACTACTAAAATAATACTTAAGCATTTTTTCACCTGTAGCAACAGTTAATATACGTCATATTTATATTATAATTTTTATACAGCAACCAATGACATTGTTATTTCTCACTTTAGTTTTCCGTCACCCATTTTCCTATTACCTACCTATTACAGTCCACTACTATCGCACGACAAGTACCATACACTAACATAATCCGTGAGCGGGCAATACCTGACGATCACATATAATTCAGGTTGTCCCTCCACACACTAAGAATCTTAAATTTTAACCTCCAAAAGTCCCAACTAGATCCCAATTGCTTCCAAAAACCTCCATCGAAGCTTTTGATCATAGAATTTTTTCTACTAGAAAAGTTGAAAAGTTAAAGTTTTCAAATACCTCACCCTAACGTCTAAAATTATTAGACTAGAAAAAATAAAAATAAAATTGTCGGTAATTAATTTTCAGCCCCCCCCCCTTATTTTAAATAATATTATCAACTTACAAACGGTACATTCCAAGACCGAGGGTGCAGTGGGCAGCTGTTAATACGTAGCTATCTGATATCAAGGAACCACCACAGATCCACTTATATTCCGATGTTGGAAAACTACGATGTTGACAACCAATTGCTGCCATCCAGGGCCATTCACCTAAATACATTGAAAAGATAATATTTGTAATTATAATTAATTAAATCTAATACAATTTTCTATGTATGTATTTTGTGAAATTTAAAAACAATAATAAAAAATAAATTATAAATTATAATAATTTGTTTTCAAACGTATACCTAATTCAGTAATAAATCCTCCAGAAACGCAACTGAAAGGACCAATCTGCCGTCCACAAGTTTCTTGAGATGGCAATTTGATTGGTGAATCTATTTTGTAAATGTCTGATACTGTTGAATCGTTATTGGGAGTAGTTGTCCTTTCAGAAGATTCAGTGTTGTTGGTAGGTTCATCCTCTAATGGACAGCATACCTTGGGATAATAAGTAGAACTACCCTCATTTACGCACATGGAGTTTCTGAGATAAATACTAATAGAAGCATTTTTTATCTGATTTTTTAATGGATGATGTGTAGGGCATCTTGTTATGTTGATGCACTTTCCGTTAAGATCATTTGGTGTGATACATTCTAAAAAATTAAACAATAATTATGTCAATTATCTAAAATTTGTTTTTTTTAATAATAAATAAGTACCTAATGGTAAATGTACTTAAATTATTTGTTAAATTAAATGAAACAAAATATAATTGAACAATTGAGTTATTTATTATTTTTGTAAATTTTAAAAGAATTGTGGTAAATTTATTAAAAAAAATTGGTCTGCAATTAACAATTCTTTTAAAATATATAATCAGTAATTTTTATTATTATTAGATTTAGACTTAACGGAACTTCCTGAATATTATTATTATAATACATACATTTTTAAAAACTGTTAAGTTAACTTGTGTATAAAATATTATAAACATCATGTATGTACATTGTACGGTTATTTGTTTTAGAGTTACACCAAAACGCAAAAACCAAATTAGATTTTTTCGAAAACAGTTTTTGCGTAAAAATTACTGTTTTTCCTTAATTTTTGTTTTGTTTTTCAGTACACTTTTGAATTTTAATGTCCAAAAAAACTAACTAGATTCACTTTCCCATCGAACAAGATAGGTACTGTTGAAGACAATTGAACCAGTGTTACTGCCCCAAACAGTGATGAACTGATGACAGACACACAAATAAAATAAATAACACACATCATTCTAAAATCAATACATTCATCACTCCGCTCATAATCTAAAATACATAGGCACAATATTTTTAAGCATTTAAAGTTAAATTTTTGACAAAATTTATCAAATTAAAAATTAAAAAATTATTTTATGGATAAAAATGTATAAAATTTAATTTTTATAGCTAAGGATTTAAAGTTAAAACAAAGTTCTACATAAATAGGGTTCATCTGTAACAAAAAATTAAAAAAAAAATTTCAAGTTATTTTATGTTTAAATTTTGACAGAATTACATAGTAAGTATCCAAGAATAACGATTTTAGCTATTTTGTTGTAATTTAAAAATATTATTCGTGGGCACTTGAAATTTTTGTATATTATTATCCACAAAAAAGTACTTCGGAGAAGTAAAAAAGGCTTTCTGTGTGTAAGTTCAGTGGCGTTTGGGAGAAAAAAAAGAACTTTGATGTTATTAAAGAAGTGTAATCAAACCCAAAATTCTGTATCTCAACTTGAAAAAATATCAATTCACAAAAATGTCAAGATGTTCAGATGCACAAACATTGGAAAAAAAAAATTAGCACAGAACAGGGTGAATTATAGATTGTCAACAAAAATTCGAGGCAGAGTAGTCAGACAGATTAACTCGTAAACAAGTCGACAACTATGATTTATGGCTAATTTCATCATTAATGTACGCTGTTCTGTGGTAATTTTTTTTCCAATGTTTGTACATCTGAACATCTTGACATTTTTGTGAATTGATATTTTTTCAAGTTGAGGCACAGAATTTTGGGTTGGATTTCACTTCTTTACTAATCTCAAAATTTGGGAACTTTTTCACCAATGTGACTTTTCGGCACAGAATTAGGGTATTGATTTCATTTCTTTATTAATCTCCAAATTCTACTTTTTCAACCATGGGCCTTTTTGGCACAGCATTTTGAGATTGATTTCACTTCTTTAATAACATCAAAATTCTTTTTTTTCTCCCAATCGCTTCAACTTACGCACAGAAAGCCCTTGGGATCTCAATTATTTTTCCTAAGCACGTTTCACAGTGACATCTCGGAACAATGTATTTTGCTTCAAATATGAAAATGTGAGATTTTTGGAATTCTGTGGCCACTTGATGTGGTCGATAACGTGTTCTGTGACTGAACGGACAGCCGAGTCAGGAACAGAATGCGACACCGACGTCGAGTGTGACCTGCGGCCTGAGGTTAATTTTGTAGATTTAAATTATGCTTAAATTGTTTTGAGACAATATTTAGACAAATTGATAACATTCCTTCAAAAAAATTATTATTTATCTTTTTCGAAATGGGTGATTTTACTCTAAGATTACTTAAAAACATAGATAAAATGATTCTGCGTAAATGCGTTTTGTCTATGATGCGCATGGGCCAAAGAAAGAAAACAAATAGTGAGCTGACATCCTATACATCCAATTTCTATTAGACTTCAAACTAGAACAAATAACAATAAGTACATCGGACGCGTGTATTGATCAGTGATCAGTTTTTGAATAATTTAATTACAACCACACACACACATATAGTTATTTATATATTTATATTAATAAACAACCATATTTTGTAATAAAAAAAAACTCACCATTATTGGTTTGATCCTCCACACCCCTGGCACCACGAATCGCCAGACTGAAGACGAATACCATATAAATAATACATTTTTCTTTGTCCATATTTAGTTAAGAAGATCAAACTTTGTAAATAAATACAAAAATATGAAACAGAAGTGTAAGTATAATTAATCATTTAAATTTCCCACGACACGAGCTAAACTTAATAATCAAACATACCTCGTATATTTTACCTTCAATGTTTACTTCTTGATTTTGTCTTAATGATTATTTTGATTTTTTGATTTCAATTTTTCCTTTCAGAGATAGACCTTCTAATTGGTAATTATGAAATATATCATTTTTGAACTAATCTAATAAAATTATTTTTAATGTATTTATTTATTTTCCCTATAGTAATATTATGTCAATTTTTAAGCATATTAAAATTAGTAATCATCAAGCGCAATATTTATATTGATTAAATACAAACCATCCTTAAGTTAAGTTTATATGTAAGTATCTAAAACACTGTACCTATGTTATAATTAAGTCACTGTCAGACCAAAGGCCAATATGTTGCCACTGTCTTTATATTCAATAAAAAAAAAAGTTGATCAATAGATAGATACTTCATAACTTGTTCCTGACAATAGTATGATATGAAGAAGATAATATTATATTTGTCATTTTTGTAATTAGCATGTTGAAGTTAAAAATGTGACCTGCTATTACCTAGATATTTAATGGCACCCTGAAATAATTTAATATTACGCCTCTGTAGTACACCCATCAAATTACCTATTAAAATAGCAAGAATCAATAGAAGTTATTTTAATTTATCAAATATTTATTAGTAAAATCGTAGACTATTATAGATCATTATTTCGAAGTAAAAAGAATTTGATAAGCAAGGAAATGAATGTTAAAAATATTTGTTTTTTTTATACAATGCATTATTTGTTATATTATATATTATTTTTGAATAGTATAAAAAAAAATGTATAATAGTAAAAGGCTCGTTCGAGTAATTTATATGAGAACATTTTAAACACCTATGTGATTTTTTCAATTTGATTTTTCGTCCCATAAAATAAGTATATAATTAAAATCTTCAAATTAATACACTCATGAGAGAAAGTGTTTGTTTTTTAATACTACATTAGATATCATAAATGGATTTGCTAATATATACCATATACATAACAGAGTTGTAGTGTTATTACCTGTTAATATATTTATGACTTCTATAATTATTCTGACGTAGTGTTTATTATAGAAATAAACTGCCACCGACCACAATCAACAGGGTAGTTTTTCTGACTTAAATTATTTATAATAAACACGATATGTCAGAACTATGAACAAGTGATCATTCATATGCCAAATAGATTCTAATACAATTTGTATCAAATAAATTTGTGATAAAATTGTAATTTAATAAATTATTAATATGCATTATGCTCATCAGTAATATTGTAATAGGTACAAATCCCACAAACAATTCGCTTCGTTCAAAACTGGTCGACTAATATGATTATAGTTACACGCATGGCTTAAATAAACAAGGTTATTGAACATAGCCTATATTGTTATCAAAAAATAAATAAAATGGTAGTGTAAAGGGTACAGTCCATATCTTAGTATAATATATATAAATTATTATAGTCAGTATAGGTCGTCCACTTACGCTGCCACATTTATTCCTTAACGTGATAATATGATATAGTGGGGGTACTATTGCAAGAACTTTGTATTTACTATATATTTAAGCAATGTCTACACGTGTATTAGTTCAAACGTGGTAGGTACCTAAATACAAAAATATAAAACAGAAGTGTAGTTATAATTAAATATTTAAATTTCCTAGGCCTCGAGTGCTAAACTCAATAATCAAAAAATTGATTGTGCCTTCAGTGCTTACTTCTTAACTGTGTTGTCGTTAGGACGGAAGTAAAATCCGCAAGGACTATGTTACATACAAAAAATCTAAATAAAACACTTTGGGCAGAAAGTTTTAATACGGCTGCCTATACAATCAACAGAACTGGTACGATTTAAATCAAAGATAAAACACCGCATGAAATGTATTTTAGAAAACAACCTTAGATTAAACATTTAAGAGTTTTTGGTACAAATGTTTTTTTTTTCACATATACCGAAACAAAAACGTCAAAGGACCCTGAGAGTGAAAAAGGTATATTCGTCGAGTATGTAGAAAATGTAAAAGGATACAGAATAATATGGTATCCAGAAAGAAATAAAATAAAAGTGAGTAGAGAAGTTATTTTTATAAATGAAATAACTGATATTGAGATTTCGATAAATGAAAACGAGCTTCAAGAAATAATAATAATAATCTAAGTGAAATTACAAATGAAATACTGAATAGGTCACGTTGACAAGGAAGATGAGTCGGTAAGCTTATATTATAATCTAAGAAATCGAGAACAAATAAAAAATTAAAAACCAATTAAATAGGTATGCATGTACAATGTACATTGTACAGCTTTTACAGCTGAACCAATTAATTATAATGAGGCAATTAATTGTATGCACGCAGATAAATGGAATCATGCTATGGCCTATGAGTGAGCAGTATACTCAACACTCGTTACATAAAAACAACAAGTCTTGGACTTTGGTATCAAAGCCGGTTGGAGAAAATATTATAAACAAGTCGTGGGTTTTTAAAAAAGCATAGCGGTCGTTTTAGAAAAATATTAAAAACACATTGTACAAAAAATAACAAATTATTTATTAGTTAAATATTTATAAAATGTTCAACTCTTATAGCTAAGGATTAATAATTTAAAACAAGGTTTTACGTTTCACACAGATAATATGTTTAAATCATAAATGTATAAAAACCGGTGTATGTCAGATTGATGTGGATCAATGACACATTTCATATTAGGAATATACAATGCAGCTATAAAGATGAGCCTCATAAATTAGTATTAAATTATATTTTAATAATTACAGATTATTATAATTGTATTATACTTTGATGAAAAAAATTATCAAAGTATAAAAATAAAAAAGTATCTCAACTAAGTATCATCGTATGCCGTAGTATATGTAATGTGGTCGATATGTGGGTGGTAAGTCATCTGTGGCCGGTGACATAAGAACGCGATAACGTATTTTACGAATTTACACACTAACATTTATAATTTACTTCTCTCACCCAGTAACACAGGTCAAATATAAATGCTACATGAAATGCCTATATATTACTCCTTAAAACATGTCACGCTATAGCCACCTTAAACAAAATATCTAATATAAGTACAGTCTTAGATTCTTAGTGGAACGATAAATAATAATTTTGTAGTTAAAAATTTATAAAATGTTATAGCTAATGATTGAAAATTTAAAATAAGATTCTACTTAAATAGGTTATATATAAATTACTTTATTCACCTTAGTATCATCAAAAAATATACTTCGTAATATCATAGGCTATCTAACCGTTTTCGCCCAGAATAATTTTTCTTATACAATGATATTATATCATTAAATTCAAATTTAATACCATCCATTATACAGTGACCCACTTGTAACCTATTTGTATAGTTATTTTAAGTTTAAATTTAGACGAATTTCATACTAAATAACCAAGAATATCGGTTTTAGTTATTTTGTTGTAATTTAAAAATATTATTCGTGGTTACTTGAAATCTCTCATGTATATTATTATTAATTACTATAAGTACCTATACAAATATTTAAATATCATAATATGCTAATAATATTAATTCAACTTCCCGGCTACCGTATAATAATAATAACAATATAAATATTAAATAATAAATAAACATTACAATATTATCTTAGAAATAGATATTAGTTCTAGGGAGGCCAAATATATAACTTGGTACTAGGTAGTAATTACTAATTATATAGGTACCACTGATATACGTAGGTATATGTCTTGTTATTGTAGGCACCCCTCGAAATTGCAGGTCTGCGTACGCCTATGAATATAATATAAAATATCCTAGGCTGACAAACGGTCTCCGCTTAGAATCGTTTTTCGTTTACAATAATATCTCGTTTTATAATTAGTTTTATAATGATATTGTAAGGACTCGGGGAATATCAATAGCCCAGAAATTAACTTTTAAATAAAAGCTACATCATTAAATAAACGTCTAGAAGTTAATAGTTGTAACGTTCAAACCCACATAATTTTTTTCTAGCTTAAATGTCATTATTCTCAAAATACGCCACTGTAATTTATTGAGCTTATCAACTAAATTATTAATGTGCTTAGGATTCAAGACAACCGTTGAGAACTCTAAGATTGACCTAACAACGGAGCAATATAATACCTTTAACCAAATATTTTTGAAATCGGAACAATATTAAGTTTGATAAAACCTATTATCTATAACACTTAGAGTGACCGGGGTATAATGGTGATGGGGCAAAATGAACTATTATGTATAAGTAATTTAATAATATTGCTATCTGGTCAAACATTTTTGTTATTATGATTAGGTATGTTATCATAGCCCAATGTGATAAAACATTTTTTTCAGCAGTTGATACTTGATGAAGTTTTGGCGGCAATTTGAGGTAAAATATTAATTGTATTCGTCTGATGTAATATTTGAGTAGTATAGAAGTAGCAATGTGTACTATATAACGACACGTTTGATGTTGCTTTTTTTATATGTATATTCGTTTAGTAAAAGTAGGTGACTAAACGTCAATACTAGTAAAATATTAATATGATAACAACTGAATATACTACAATACTGTTTATGCAGAAAATCATATTGGGGTAAAATGGCTTAGCGGGTTTTGGGGTAAGTATTGATTACCTACTTTTATAAAAGTTTAATTATTCTAGCTTCAAATTAAATTAATTATATTTATTTATTTATTAATTTATTTAAACTAATAGGTACATAATATCTAGATACGATGTATTAACAAATGATTAAATAATATTATGTAATATTTATTGAATAATTAGGTAGGTACCTATACTTAAAAAAATTACTTCGTCTTAGTATTTACTACTAATACTGTATTAATAATATGTTATATTAAGAACTATTATTTATGCATGCATATTATATATATTTATAACTTATTATTTGATAAAAATAAAATAGATAACATTCTTTTAATAAAATAGATTTTTATGAATTAATTTAGAATGCGGCCTATTGGCTATTACCCCAATAATGGGGTAAAAAACGCATTTGTTATAATTTCTAATTATTTAAAAAATTTGGTATTTGCTTTGATAAAATCACTTTTTGACCGGAAAATTGAAATCTACGCAATATTTATGATAGGAAAACAATATAACAATATTTCTAAAACGTGCCTGCTACCAAGTACCAGCTGTTAAATGTTAGGTGCGCCATTATACCCCAGGTTATTCTAATGCTCCACTATATATTGCACAGAGTAAAAGTTAGAAGACAGTAACACACCCAAATCACCAGTGTTGGGTAGTAACGTAACGAAAGTAACGCGTTACTTAATTTAATTAGAATTATTTCCAAGTAACGAAAATGTAATGGAAATTACTTTTGAAAAGTAATTTATATAAAATTACACGTTACAGTTTTGAATTATTTAGTACCTACCTACCTATTGCGAATTTGAAAAAAATATTTGTATAAAGCTGGTATTATGTTTACCAATCTAATATATATATATATATTTAATCTCAACTCTCCACAATTCATTTTTCAATGGTTTTGACATTTGAAATGTCCAATTGCACCTTATGAAAGAACAGTTAATTAAATTTATTATTTAATTTGATTCCTTTAAATAGGTTTCCTATGAATAGCTTGTGTGGAAGACTAAGTTTTATACGATCCTATTAACTATACAGGTTTTATAAAGAATTTGAATACAGAAGATAATTGCCAAGAAATTACAATTTTTTATTTTTTTGTAACGAGAAAGTAATGAATTACTTTTCTATTTGAAAATTAAAGTAATTTCATAACAATTTTATTTGAGTAACGAGTTAAGTAACTTAATTACATTTATCTCTTAGTAACGAGTAAAGTAACTTAATTACTTTTTAAAAGCAACTTACCCAGCACTGCAAATCATGTATATAATATAGTACCTAGTTGAATAATTTAAGATAAACCCATCGTTTGTATAAAATATTTTTAACGGTCTGTGTTCGCTTGCAATCGTTTTTCGTATAGGTAGATACTCGTATCTCAAATTAAAAGTATTCAAATATAGTACCTATATAGTATATATACCTTCGCTGTGAATTCCAAACTTATATACGATTAAATATTTAAATCTAATATTGCATGAAATTCGTACAGATGCATATTATGACTGTCTGTCTGTTTCTCTGGGAAAGGCTAAAAGAAGCATGAACTGATATTAACGGAGACTTCATAGGTATTTTATTACCGTGGTTATATATTATACATTTATACGCAGATATTATTTCCTCGGAGATTACAATATTGTAATACTTATTATTGCTGTACCGTTGAGAATATCTGCGTAGGAGCAGTATAGATTTATCCTCGTGGCTCGTGTGATGTTTAAATTTATTTCGTTACTTCGTTACTTTCAAGATTATTATACATATTATTATTTATTTACAATATTAGTTTGTCAAAATGCTATAACGACGAAAAAATTAATAACAGTCGTAACGACTCATCGGTCATCACCAACACACTCGAGTACCTACCTAAGACGCACGAACTACATTATTAGGTCTGTTTTGAATGCGAGTAGGTATGTGACATTTATGATTTATAGAAAAAAAAAATACTTACAATACTATTAGTAATTAATAAACTATGATAAGTAATAGCTGTAATCAATAAAGCTTCCTTAATGATTTGGTAATTATTATTAATAAACTTTTATGCCAATTATACTTCAAAGTTTAATTATAAAATATAATTTTCATAAAAATGCATCAACAGATTTAATAAATGTACTTACCTGTTTGGGCGTGTGGCTGTGTGAATATTAAATATAATAGGTACAGTAGTCTTGATAAATCGAATCTCAGTGGAATATAAATAAAATATATACCTCAAACACAACTTAAAAAAACTGCAAAGGGTAAGAAAAACCAGTGTGTGTGTGTGTGTGTGTGTCCATATTACCATGGCAACCATATCTGTATATAAAAAACAGTAAGCTGATTGACTGCTATCAACGCACAGCTCAAACCATTGGACGGATCTGGCTGAAATTTGGCATACAGATAGCTATTATAATATAGACGTGCGCTAAGAAAGGATTTGCCAAAATTCGCATTTTAAATAGGTGCTGAAACAGGGACATTGAGATTCACGATAGAAATTGGAAATTTTATTTTTATTTATTTATAGTTGCCATTGGTTACAGTCTACATTAGAAATTAGCATTTATTTATTGGTTGCCATTGGTTATTCGGGCAGATCAGGTACAAGCTTGCATCAAATCGAATTATTGAACAATGCTTACCAGGGTGGCAGAGTTGCACTTACCGCAGAAAATTACACCCAAAAGGAGTTCAACAATCATAATTTTTTTAAGAGTTGCGATTTTTTACGAGCAACTAAATTTATTATATTAATCCACAGTATTACATCAAAATAAACTTGGTATAACTTTGATACTTTAGAGTTAAATCATACACTTCCGTACGGGTGCGACTCGTTTGCGCACATTTACCTTTTTTACGGCACGTTTGCGCACAAAACCACAACTCGTTTGCGCACACATATTTTGGGTTTAAATTATAAAGGTACAACTCATTTGCGCACATTTCACTTTGAGCAGAACAGCACATTTCTCTTCTCACTTTAATATAGGCTTAGGACCATCTGTTTTGTACAGATTAAAAATGTGCATGTCGTGTGTGTCTGTTCTGAATAAATATATAATTATACAATTAATAAGAAGTAATAGTGGTTCTATGCGTGTTTTTAATTTTTAAAATTTTATATTTTTTTATTATTAACTAACCTTACTACATCACTCAAGGAACATTTTTTATTCGTACGCCTAAAATGTGTATCACTAGATTTTAAAGTTCGAAATTCTCTTTCAAAAATATCACAAATAAAATTTCGATATCCATAGTCACTAGTCAGTAGGTAGTACCGCTTTCTGGAGAACGACTGCTTAAAAATATTATGTTTAATACACGTCGATTATTTTCAATGATGATAATGATATATTGAATATTGATATGCTGATGTACTGATAATCAATTACTTAAGTTAGTCCAAATTTAAAAATATAAAATTTAGTTATGCAGTGTTTATGTTGTGCGCAAACGAGTCGTCCGTTTTTAGGTTAACGACGGTATTCGTTGTGCGCAAACGAGTCATCGATATCTAGGTAAACAATTTGGATTGTGCGCAAACGAGTTGCACCGCTTCCGTACAAACAGCACGGGGTCCGCGATCTACCGCAGGTAGATTGCCTACCTGATAATGTACTGCTGCGATTCAGAATAGAGGTCTCGATTACACGTGTAATGAACTACACGGATACCCGTGTTTTTACACAAGACGGGGTTAAGGCCCGTGTAATAAAAATACCCGTGTATACCCGTGTATTTAAATACCCGTGTTTTTAATACCCGTGTTTTTAATACCCGTGTTTTTTAATACCCGTGATCTTGAATACTCTTATATTTAAATAAAATCATATTTTACTACTTTGCAGTTCTGACTTACGATTGCTCCACTTCCTGAATTCAATATGATAGAACACATCATATTATATTTTGTTCACTACCTCTTAGTATTTTGCGTCATAACATTTATCAATAATATTAATAAATTATAATAAGTAAATAAATGTGTGTATTTTAAATTTCGTTTTTACAAAAAAAGTTGCATTTGCATGATTATTAAATAACAAAATAACAATAAACATGTATATAAATATATTAATAAATTAATAAATTCTAATAATAACAGTTTTAACAGCAATAACAATAATAATATAGTGTAAAATAAATACAAAATAATAATGACAATATTAAATTAATCAATGACCAAATTACTTACAATCTATGAAGTTATAATAATTGTTTGTTCTGGTGAAGAAAAATCAGCATGTTTACGGTCTCGGGCGCCAAACAACTTCTCTTGGCCGTCACTATGTTTCCAGCGGTTGAGAAACATCTTTCAGAACTAACTGACGTTGCTGGTATCCCTAAATATTTCGTTGCCAGAGCAACAATCAGTGGATATTTTGATGCACGCGTCTTCCACCATTCTAGTGCATCAAAATCAAATTTTAACTGTGGTTCTGCCAAGTAATGTTGATACTGAATGTCATAATCAGCTGTATTACAATTTACTTCATCACCGAACAGAAATTCAAGAGCACCGTGATGTTTAGTGACAGGTGTTTCAATTTGTACATCGCAATTAATTTCAGCTATTTCTTTTATCAAATGTTTAACCCGTGTCCGAATGTTTTCTCTTGCATCAACCGTTTCATGCTCTAAGTCCTTGAATCTTGGGTCGAGGAAAGACGCTATTTGCCGAGCAGACACGACACTAGAAGGACACCACAATAATTTAAAACGATCTGATAGTTCCCTAATTACAGTAGTTTTAAAATGTTCTGTTATTTCATCATCACTTACATTATGCTTTAAATGCTTTTCTATAACTGCGTTTATGAGAGGCCTAACCATTGAAATAGAGCAATATTTTTCGCCACAAAAAACCGTGGTCATAATTTGTAGAGGTTTAAGCAATTTAATTAACGTTTCTACATCTGTCCATTGGTGCTCTGTCACTTCAAATTTGTGTGCCATTGCTGCTGTAGTCAACGAACGATCAGCAAGAACATTTGAAATCGGGCACCTATTTTTATAAAGTCGATCAAGCATCATATATATAGAGTTCCATCTGGTTTTACAGCTTTGAATTAATTTTTCTGTTGGCAAACCTAGTTGGTCTTGCTTATCTTTTAAATACTGACTAGCTAAATTCGAATGCTTAAAATGACAAACAATCTTACTACATAATTGAATTAAGTTATCTATTTTATCATATTTTAGGCTATTATTGACAGCAAGTTGTAATGTATGTGCTGCACATGTTAAATCATCCTTTTCGGTAATATTATTAAGTAAATTAACAGCATTCAACACATTTTTCGCATTATCAGTCACTACTGCCATAATTTTTTGGTCAATTTCCCATTTATTAAAAGTAATTTCTAATTGATTCGATAGATTTAAAGCTGTATGACGATCGTCTAATTTTTGAGTTGTCAGGGTGTATGATTTTGGGCACCATTGATCATCAATAAAATGTGCAGTAACTGTTATGTACGATTCTTGAGCTATTGATGACCAACAGTCAGATGTACAACTTACACTCCTGGCATCTTTAAGTTCTTTTTTTATTAGAACTTCAACCGACGATTTGAATCCTTTAAGTCTCTGTTTGATAGCACCTTCCTTGCATATTATATAATTTGGTTCTACTACGCTCATAAATTGTTTAAAACCGGAACTAGAACAAAAGGATAGAGGCATTTGATTGATTGCGATCATCTTAGCTAACGCCTTATGGATTTGTTCTGTTCTTTCAGAACTACAACTTCGGTTTATTTCAAAGTTTTTATCAACATAAGTTCTACGTCGTTTTCGGGGTTGTGGTCCACAAAATTCTGATGATGAGGATGAACAATTAGTATTTAAATTATTTGAGGATGTCGATGAACACTGTGTTAGACTATCAACTGTATTACACTCTTCAACTTCATCATGAGGATTATCATCACTAGGAAATAAATTAAAGTACAACAATAATAATTGCAATTACTTGAATCAATTTTATAGGAATAGTAAATGGATGATAAGATTAATACATTATGAAAAGCGTAAAATATATTATATTATTATAACTTATATATGTATTAATCATTATTTATAGAATAAAAAACTAAAAAAACTAGTTTTAGAGTTACACCGATATCTAAAATCGAATATACCTACTAGATTTATGTAGAGATTTAATAAGTAGGTACTAGGTACAGATACTATAGGTACATACGTAACTTAAATGTGTGCATTATTTTATTATGTTGGTACTAAAAGTTAGTAAGCAATAAATCTATAATTTTGTATTATATATATTTGATGAAACAATTAATTTTATCATTATGTTACTAGAGCTTTTCAAATCGTCAATCCCGTCCATATTTTATTTGAATTATTACGAATTAATTACATACCTTGGATTTTGAGTATTTCTGCTTATATTGTGAATCAGTTTTAAATGTCTGCCGAATGATCCCGTTGATCCACCAGCACAGCAAAACACTTTATTTGAATTATCGTCACACAAGTCACAAAAAGCTTTATCGCCTTGGCGTTTGCCGTATTGCCATACCCAACTTTTATAACGGAAACTCATTTTTCAAAGGATAAATATTTAATATGTATAATATAAGTGTCGAAACTACACTTCACATAGCAATAGTGAATAGAGGCACAATGAGGTATGGAAAAATTTTTAAATAACCAACAATTTTTAGATTTAGATACGAGGCATACCTACGTAAAATGCAATGCAATAAAATTGGCGATAAGATAGTTTTGCGATTGTTTATGCTTTAATTTTAAAACCAGTTTAAATATTACTATTTTATATATTATTGCACTTATCTGTTTAGTTGATTAGTTTATCTTGTACCTATATAATATTATACGATAAACGAATGCATCTTACTAAACATAACTAAAAACTATCCATAACATCGCTAAATAATAAAATATAGGTAGGTATTTATAATGCTATACAATTTTTATTATTAATTAATAACCAATTAAAAATTATTGGATTTGGTTATAGGTACACGGGTAATGATAAATAAATACACGGGTATGTACGGGTATTAAATACACGGGTATACACGGATATTATACACGGGTATTAAATTCACGGGCTTTAATAATTTTTTTCCCGTGTATCCGGGCTCCGTGTACCCGTGTATTCTAATACCCGTTCACAACCACGACCTCTAATTCAGAATTTTTATTCAGGGCAACGGGAAAGATAAGATAAATTTTGAACACCATACACGTTAATGAATTGAACAAAGTTTGAGTAGGTAGTATTGAGTTGATCCATTTAACGGGCGACGAAGTGCACGGGATCAGCTAGTATATTATAAATGTATAACATAATAAATAATTTCAGCATTTTCTTACCACTACAATGATATTGCACTAAATTATATTTATGATAATAACTCCAAAAAAGAAATAGAAACATATAAATAATATTTTAAAACCAAATGACGATTCTGATTTATTTGCGTTTTGTATTGACTTAAAACTAAAATTGTCAAATTTGGATACAGCATAATATCTTGAACTATAATTAGTTAATATTTTTTAAATATAATATTATATCAATGATTATGAATTATAATTAATAGTATAACCATCAATGATATTAATAAGCTCAATACAATAGATGCAATATTAATTTTCAAACATTTTCAAAGATTTTCACCGCACCAAAATTATTGTAGTTGTCTTGGATCACAACAATAAAAAAAAGTTGCTCTGCTGTCCAGTAGGTTACAAGTGGAGCATTGTATAATGGATAGTATTGAATTTAATGATATATTATTATTGTATAAGAAAAACGATTCTGAGCGGAGACAGTATGTCAGTCTAGGTATAAGACATATTTATACAATTTTTTTTAATACCATGTATATTATTATATACATGGTATTAAAAAAAATTGACCTATAATAATTTCCAAATTAATCATATCACAATATCCATTATGTCCTTATAACGCTTTATAGATCAATAACAAACCGTGATACTATCATAGATATACAGTAGTATACTTTAGAAGTTTCAAGTACCCACTAAAAATATTATACAAACACAACAAAATAACTAAAATAGTTATTCTAGGGTTTTTAATATGTAATTTAACTTAATTTGGACTTAAAATTACTATAAAATAAACTGTGCTTATGTATTTTTTAGATTTTTTGGTAACAGAATTAACTACATACGTGGAATCTTGTTTTAAATTTTCAATCCTTGGGTATAAAAGTTGAACATTTATACATTTTTAACTACAAAATAATTATTCAATTTTAAATTAGATAAATTTTGCCAAAATTTGATCTTTAAATGCTTATAAAAAAAAATTGTGCCTGTATATTTTTAATATTTTTCAACTGCTCTTGTAACAATATATCAGGAGCCTTGTATTATATTTTTACACTTTTTAACCCAACAGATAAAACTTTATTGATATTCATAGAATAAAAAAATAAAAAAATTGAAATATGAAAAGCTCAAAACAAGTACAAATAACTTTGAACATTTTGTCAAGTATAAGAATTGATAAAACAAACATTCAGTGAAATTTTCATGTGTCTACAGTTATTCGTTTTTGAATTACAACAAAATAAGAAAATCGCTACATGAGAAATCGAGTGAATATCTAATGTTGTAAAAATTTGAATTTCAAACGCTCATAAAAATTTAGTTTAACTTTCTTATAGACATTTTTGTTTTGATAAAGGTAGATAATCTTATGAGGAATCTTGTATTACGTTTTAAAATCTTAGATTTAAATGAAAAATTTTTACGAATCCTTAACTCAAAATAATTTGCTAATTTTCATGATTTTTCCATATTTTGTCAATTTTTGAACTTTAAATGCTTATAAAAAAAAAAAACTGTGACCAAGGATTTTTAATATTTTTCAAATGTCAATGTAACAATATACTAGGAGCCTTGCATTAAATTTTCAAGTATTTTTACTCAACAAATAAAGTTTTATTGACATTCATAGAAAAAAAGTCGCTCTGTTGTACAGTAGGTTACAAGTAGGTCACTGTAATGGATGGTGTTATAGCCTATGATATTACAAATTATATTTTATGACATTATTGTGAATAAAGTAATTTATATATAACCTATTTACATGGAACCTTGTTTTAAATTTTCAATCCTTAGCTATAAAAGTTGAACATTTTATAAATTTTTAACTACAAAATAATTATTACATTTTAAATTTGATAAATGTTGTCAAAATTCGAACTTTAAATGCTTATAAAAAAAAATTGTGCTTATGTATTTTTAATATTTTTCAAATGCTATTGTAACAATATATTAAGAGCCTTACATTAAATTTTCACGCTTTTTACCCAACAAATAAAATTTTTTTGATACTTATATAAAAAAAAACTAAAAAAATTGAAAACTGACAATGTCTGTAAACAACTTAAAAAGAGTCAAATTCGCATCAGAGACCTTTCACTATGAAATAAGCCCTTTGCACAAGTAAAATTAATTATTAAGTAATGAGTATTGAACTATTATACTTAACGGCTATAATTGTAGACATATTTTATTTTTAAAGAAATTAAAAATCAGTATCCAACACTAAAATATTAAGGAAAGAATCTTCTCCCTAGTTTTAAAATGGTTTCCCAGTAGTAAAAAGTGTTTAATATGTATAATTAATTTCTTCATTCTTTTTTATATTTAACGCATACTTTCCTTCGGCTGATTGAAAATCATTTTAAGTCTTGGTAAAAACATCACAATAAAAGTGTTATAAGTAAAAGTTTCAAAGAGACTTGTAGAACCCTACAAGAAACACATAAGTCTTAAATATATAAGTACGCCAATATTTAGATAACATTTAAAGGATTTAGTTACCTAACTTAGTGAATAAATGTCATGAAAAATAAACATAATATATGAGGTATGTTTTTTAATGGAAAACATCTTAAATAACAATATACAAACAAATTTATAAAAGTATTTGGATTTTAAGTGGACTTTAAAATTTTTGGACATAAATGTTTCCGGCAATAAACGGATTAGCCATCAGAGTACAAAAAACACGAAAGTCTAAGAAAAAATTATATTAAAAAAATTGTAAAAGTACCTGACTTAAAAGCTATCTTACAACTTAATAACATATTTAATTGCTTTAGATGTTAGGAAGGTACTTAATTTGGGCAGCTTATGATATTGATTAAATATCAAAGTATTAATTCAAATACTTTCTTTATTTAGAATATTTAAATAATGAATTTGAAAAAAAAAAATTAAAAATAACAGTCATATAAAAACCGAGCAGACTTTGTAACAAAATATTTTCAAATTCTTAAATAATATTAAAATTAGGAGACAATTTTTGACTTGAACGTATACGCAAAATACAAAACTACCATGCTGACAATTGCAGCCAGGAATTCAGAATTGACCCAAACACCTTTGTAAGCACCGGGATAACGGACGTAAGCAGAGTGTACAGGCGTTACACTGCTGATGGATTCTCCATCACGCAACAGTTTCCTGAGTTGACCGTAACCAGCCTCATCGTAAAATTTCACATAGTAATCGCCTCGACGAGCCTTCTTGAAGTCGTCCAACCAACTGACCTGTGGAAACGTCAAGCATAATATTATTATAAAACGGTTTGCGCCCGACACAGGTGACGTCAACGGACTACGTACTTGGTATTTGTTCGGACCAGCGTTGGCCGCTACCAGAAGTCGGCCTTCCACTTCGGCGTACAAGTTGGACGGTGAATCCTCGCACTCAGCACTAACTTGTGCGATGAACGCAGCCTCGTTAACGATCATGGCATCGCTGGTGGTGTACGACTCGACGGCATACTTACAACCGGCGGCGGACGAAGCCACGGCGCACAGCGACAGCGCGACGAGAATGCAGTGGGTAGGAGTCATCATGGAGTTCGGAAAACTTCGAGGAACTAGAGAAAATGATGTCAGAGTAATAACGTATACTATTTAGGAAAACGGACACGGCCGAGATTTATAGTTTACGAACTCTGTTTGGAATAATGTAAAAGTGCCAACTGTTACAATCGCCATCGCGTTTCGCTTAGTTTGTGATAACCGGCCATGTCGATAACGCGTGTACTAAGTGTCATCGCTTTTGGGTGTGACCAACGTGACGGGGGGCGAGAAGACAAACACTGTTGCCGCCGGTGAAGAAAAATTTTAATTTGGAGGACATCAGAAAAACCTAAAAATTCGAATGAGAAAATATATGACCAGAACTACTGGTTTCATATTAGAAGAATTCCAAGTGCATTATGAATTGTTAAAATGGAAATCTATACGTTGATGGAAAAAATATTGGAAAAATGATAAATTTTTGACCAAATACTTGCTAGCGACACCTGGTGAATGCTTTTTTAATACAAATATACTTTTAGTGAATTATTTGGTGGAAGAATTTCCGTGGCACCTTTAAAACAAAGCTGGATAATTTACGGCACCGTCGAGTAACAATTTTACAGTAAAAAAACTTCTAAATGATAGTTTAAAATAATAAAAAGATGCTAAACAGTTTTTAAAACGATATTAATTATGATACTTGGATTTTAAAGTTCGAGCGAACTTCAAAACTAGGCTAGATAGTTAACACCACTTTCAAATAATTATTTTGAAAAAAATTTTTCAAAATTGTTAATCTTAAATAGGAAAAGGAATAAAAACAATTTTGAAAAAGACGTTTATGTTACTTAGATTTTAAAAGGAAGGGGTATATTTAGAAAATTCAAACTGTGCTATAGAATTTATGAGAATGGAAATCCATATGTTAATAGAAAAAAAATTAGGAAAATGTTACTTTTTTTTCGAAATTAGTTATGGGCGACATATCTGTATATGATTTTTTAATACAAATATACTTTATATAAATTTTATGGTCTAAAAACTTCCGAGCGAACTCCAAAACTAGGCTAGATTGTCTACGGCATCGTCGATTAACAATATTACCAGAAAAAAATTTCAGAAATATTGGTTTTAAATAGGAAAAGGATTGAAAACTGTTTTTAATACGATGTTTATGTTATTTGAATTTTAAGTAGAAGGAGGTGACGGAGACCTCTCAAACCGGGCATTATGAATTTTTTTAATGGAGATGAATACATTGATAGAAATAAAATTTGGAAAGTGATACATTTTTTTACCAAATAGTTGCTATTGATACCTGTTGAATGCTTTTTTTAATACAAATATACTTTTTATCAATTTTATGGTGGAAGGACTTTCAAACGAATCTCACAACTAAGCTAAATTGTCTACGGCATCTTCGATTAACAATATTACCAGAAAAAAATTTCAGTAATATTGGTTTTAAATAGGAAAAGGATTGAAAACTGTTATTAAAACGATGTTTATGTTATTTGAATTTCTAAGTAGAAGGAGGTTACGGAGACGTCTCAAACCGGGCATTATGAATTGTATTAATGGAGATCAATACGTTGATAGAAATAATCTTTGGAAAATAATAAATTTTTTGACCAAATAGACAATGGTTGCTATTGATACCTGTTGAATGCTTTTTTTAATACAAATATACTTTTTATCAATTTTACGGTCTAAAAATTTCCGAGCGAACTCCAAAACTAAGCTAGATTGTTTACGGCATCGTCGATTAACAATATTACCAGAAAAAAATTTCAGAAATATTGGTTTTAAATAGGAAAAGGATTGAAAACTGTTTTTAATACGATGTTTATGTTATTTGAATTTCTATGTAGAATAAGGTTACGGAGACCTCTCAAACCGGGCATTATGAATTGTTTTAACAGAGATCAATACATCTATAGAAATCAAATTTTTAAAATGTTAAATTTTTTGACTTAATAGTTGCTATTGACACCTGTTGAATGCTTTTTTAATACAAATATACTTTTTATCAATTTTATGGTGGAAGGACTTTCAAACGAATCTCACAGTTAAGCTAGATTGTTTACGGCATCTTCGAATAATTACAATGCAAAAAAAAATTTTCATAATTGTTTGTTTTTAAATATTAAAAATATTGAAAACAGTTTTTAAAACGATTTTTATGTTACTTGAATTTTTAAGTAGAAGGAGGTTATTGAGATGTTTCAAACCTTGCATTATGAATTGTTTTAAGGGCGATCTATACATTGATAAAAAAAATTTGAAAAATATTAAATTGTTTTGAACTTTAAGTTTCTTTCGACACCTGTTGAAGGCTATGCATATTTTATCTTTTTTCGATGTTTGCCGTGAAATGATTTTCGTGTGCAATTCAAAACTAAGTTAGTAGTCACTAAAATAGTATATAGTACTTAGTTAAACAGATAACGCCGTATTATTTAAATGGATATTACCTAAAACGTGTAATACAATAATAATTTCAAACGATATACAAAACTAATTGGTTGACCATTGAAGTGTGTTCATTTGAAGATTAAGCGTTTACAAAAATACTGAAAATGTATCATTATTCTTTACAGAAAGATAATAGCCAGTATTGGATACCTAATTAAAAATATTTGTTGACCTGTGATAAAAATAACATCAAAAAAACCAATGATAAAAATCGAGTCAGTGCTGAAGAAAATGGCGATAAAGACCATCCAATTATTTTTAAATTTTCGGAATCCTGACATAAAATGCTATTCCGATGGATATAATTAACGATAGTTGATGTGTATAACTGCGTAAGTACATATTTGTACACAAAATCGATACCTTTTTAGAATCATCATATTAGTTATATAATATCTAATTTCTTACGTAATATCTATAGGTAGTACATTAACTCACATAAATTCCCCTTGTTGCTGTATGAGAAGTCTAAAAAAAACTTACTAATATTATTATTATTTTTTTTTGTATCTTTTTAATTTGTAGAATGTTTAGGTCACCTAATTATTCGTTTTAAAAAAGTTGTATAGAATGATAAGTACTAGGTAGTTAATATTTTCTTGTAATTATTTAATAATTGGTATAGGAATATGAAAAAAATACAAAATAATAGTATAAAAATAATAATTGTTATTCTATTTTTTACTTGAAAATAGGCATATTTAGTATTTACATGAAAAAATGTATTATATTCACAACAAAATATAATTCAACAGTTAAAAATAGTACATATTTATTTATAATGTATTATACATAAATAAAATTTGGACATCAACATATTATAAAAAAATATGTAAATTATTTACAATAATATAAAATGTAGGTACTCAACATGAGTTATACATATTTATATTTATATAATATAATATATATTTTAAGTATATAATAATATATTATGTGTTTGACACGTTTTGTTCATATAGTTTTTACACTTATGAGTTACAACATTAATAAAAAGAAACAAATTATTCAGTCATTAATATTTCATGGTTAATCAAAATAATAGATTAATCATGAATATAATTGGCACAATGCGTACTTGTTCAGTATAAAAGTACAAAATAATAACCTATCTATATCCATTCTATTTACAGTGCTTTATAAATTATTTTTACCATCGATTTTATCCTATATATTAATGGTGGTTTTTAATATTGTTAGCAACAAAAACATATACTTGATCAGTGTTTTGAAAATCGTTAATTTATAAATTATAATATGCCTACCTATATGAAATTAAAAAAAAACTATTATTCGACACAGTGGCGTGCTCGTGGGGGAGGTTTTATCATACCCTTCTCTCCCATGGCTTATTTTTGTCATATAAAATATATGATAAAGCAATGAAAGTATATCTACCGCTATATATAACGTGGTCTGAGAATAGTCCAAAATTCATATCCCCCCAACCCTTAGACACCGAGCACGCCATTGATTCGACTCATCCTTAGGTAGACACACACACACACATCCATTTTAAGTAGATAGGGTACAACACTATAAAATAGATTTCATACAACGTAATATAATAATATTATGAATGGTTGGAAAAATGATTCTAATCCACCATTCTGCCCACTTAAACTTACAATTCGAAACATTAAAAAAATATATAAATATACAATACTGAGTAAGATATATTTTCATGTGATATATTTTTCTTTTCTTTTCAAATTCAAATATAATTTATAATTAACAGAGTAAAGCAATAATGGATGTAATATACGACAACAAGCACGATGCATATCATGTCGTGGTTTTACGCAGTCTTCGGTTGTATAAAAAAAACAAAACGGACAAACCGTTTGTATAATTTGTATACGATATATCGATTAAAAAAAATTGTTGATTTAATAATTATTATTATTATTATAATAATAAATTACTATCAAAACCAAACGCTAACTGAAGATAGTGTGATGCACATTGATTGTTAGTCAATACGAAATAATATAGAAATAGATTTTTACCATTTGTTATAGAAACGTAATAATAAGTCAATAATTGTATCAGTTAACAATATCACGTGTTAAATTAGTTACGTCCGCAAGGAAATTGTCGAAAATAAAAAATGTAATGACTAGCAATAACGAGCGCCAGTAGCCGATACTAGCGCTGGTTTAATATTATTATCCGGACATTGATCGGATGACATTAAAAAAATTAATAAATCCGGTTAACACCGATGACTTCCGAAGCGGGTTGAACAATCCGCATTCTGCCGCGCATAATACGACCGCGTCACAGAATTCAGTGACCGTGCGGTGTAAACACGCAGTCGATGATTATAATATTATTGTCGTGGACGATAATATTGCGATGATAAGGAAGCTGATGATCGTCATAGTAATATTATAATAATATTTTAATTATGGCGTTTGGCGGTTTTCGGGTCCAATTATATTATATTAATTATAATTTAACGGTGCCGCGGGGTGTTAGAAAAACTTCTCCTGTTCCAAGTCGGGACGGTTGCGCATCGTGTGCCCGTTGACCAGACTGTGGCTGTTCCGCTTGATGGTGGCCGTCTC